AAAACTAAAATAATTATATAACTAAGTTGGCCATATCCCATAACCTAATTACCTAAAAGAATATAAAACCCTAATTTAACATTATTAAAATTTATAATTAAACTAACCTCATAACCTAATTAAACAATTAATGAAAACAAATAATTAATTTTCCACATAAGCATACATTAATAAAACAAATAATGCAATTAAATACTTAAACAATTACTCAACTAAGCACAAATAGGCAAATAATTAAATAAGTAAATAAAAAATGTAATATATCAATTAATTAAAATATCGAGACTTTCTTTTTAAAATTAGGGGTATTACAGGACTCCCTGATAGCCTTGCTGTCCTTACTTTCGGCCTTAACGACTAAGGTCTTTCGCACTATTTTTGCGTACTCTGTGGGTTCTGAGGCAGGTACAATTGGCCTGATGGTAAGATCAAGTCCATCAACAAATTTCTCTATCTTTCCTTTCTCATCATTAGCAATCACTTGTGCAAACCTCAAAAGCGATGTGAACTTGTTCTCATACTCAGTGACAATCATATTTCCCTGCTTTAACCCATCAAACTCTTTCTTTAGTTTTCTTCGCTTAGGTGCCGAAAACTACTTCTCATAGTACAACTTCTTGAATGTAGCATAGGTCATTGTGTCCAGATTGTGGGTGTGAGAAACGGTCTTCCACCAAATCTCAGCATCCCTAACAAAGTTATAAGTTGCCAAAGTGATCTTCAACTTGTCCATCGCTAAATTCATGGTATTGAGATACTTTTCCACTCTATCCATGAAACTATCTGCATTAAGCAGATCAGGACCGCCCTCAAACAGAGTTGGCATCAATTTCACAAACTTTGCAATGTGGTAAAGAGTATCATCTGACTCATTTGTCTTTGGAGGTGGTGGTGGTGGTGCTGGTGGTGGCACAACCTGTGACGATGATACTCCTGCAAGCCGAAATGCATCGAAAAGAGCTGCCTGAACGGCCAACTTCAACTTCTCCTCATTTATCTGAAGAGGTGGCTCAACGGTCCCCCTCGCTTGTCCCCCTCTTGGTGGGACCAAATCACGCAAAAAGATATCTTCTTCAACTTGCTCTTGATCCCTTTCCACAGGATTGGAGCTAGAACTTTACCCGGGATCCCTTCATGGTGGCATGACGCTATAAGTAGAAGGAAACGGGTCAAAAACGATGACACCAAAACACGTCCAAAAACTAAGTCCTCACATGAATGACTCGACATGAAATGATAACAACACTTTCCATACTCCTGAAAAAGAAACCCAACTGATGAAAAGCATGATCATGCTAATAATATATAATAGCACTAAGCACTTAGCAGGTAATCATATAAGCAATTAAATAATTAAACACGCCTTTCGAATAATTAAACACCTTAACACATAAACATATAAGTATGCAATCACGTAAGTAATTAAGCAAGTAAACAAATAACTCAACTCCCCATGTAATTAGGTAGGCCTCTACTCGTCGTCTGAATGGTATTCAAACCATTACTCTGATACCAAATTTATAATGACCCAAAAAGATACCAAAATAATAATAATAAAATATATAAAATTTCAGCATGACTTGCGTAAAAAAAGTCCCTCTACAACCTGTTGAAATATATAAAAATGCAATGGCCTCACTAGGCTTAAAACTAATCTAACCGTTCCTAATGCACAATACAGATATCATATCACATTCCCAAAATGTTTACATACATATAAAAAATCCCATTCCTCCATCTCATCCAAACAAGGAACACACCTTAGTTATATCAAGTTACAGTCCATAAAATGTAGCTAAAATTTAAAAGTTCATAACTTACAATATTATATTAATTAAACTAAAGTTTCACAAAATAGTTAATAATACATTTACAAAATATTAGAGTTCTAATACAAAAGATAGCAAAATAAAATAGATTGCCAGTCTCGTCTAAATTTGTGGTGGATCGTCCTTTGCCACCTCTTTTCCGTGTCCTAAAAAATGTAAAAAAATAATGGGGTGAGCATAAGCTCAGTAGGAAGCGTTTAAGACACACTTCTTATATCTTTGTGAATTTCACACAAAGAATAGGCAAAAAAGAACGGTGTCATACCATGGGGAATACATATTCTCAACCACAACAAGAAGTATGTAGCAAATGTCAACTAATCACAAATTTCCCATAATGTCATGAAGTGCAATGTTATGCAAATGTCGCTCCCCGTTTCCGAAACAATTCCGTTTCAACAACCAAACCGTTAGTGCAATCTAACCCAAGGCACCTCTAAGGCGTCACGAAAAGAAGGTTGGTTAACTATTCACGACCACAAGGCATTTCCAAGGCGTCGCATCCGGCCTAGTTAACTCAACTACATTCCCTTTTAGACTACACCAACATCACGGACCACTAGGCGCCTCCTAGGCGTCCGGTTTTCGCAACACTTTTAGAAAATATTTTTTCCAAACAATTTCATTTGTTCTAAAAATATTTTTCCCCCTTTCTCTTTCCCAATGAATGCATGAATGCTTGTGCTTCAATTTATCAACCCAACCATATAATTTTCACACATACTATACAAGGCAAATTTATAAACTACATGATGGAGCTCTCATTTAATATTAACTTTGTATAACTAGCATGTAAAATATGGATTCAATTTCATATAAACATGTAAGCATGCTAAATCACCTTAAAACAATTAATAAGTTGTCACATACATTCCATGCTTATCATTTAAAACAATTCTTTGCAGGAATTAGCACTAATTAAATATGCTAGGCATCACTTTAAGCTAGAAACTCACAAAAATACAAAAATTCATGCATTAGAACACCCCTACCTCAAATTTGTAGAAAAACCTTTAAAATGGGTCTCAAATTCGAAATCCTAGGGAGGCCGAAAGCTGAAATTGTTTGTACTCACACGTAGATCTTGCTGTGTTCTCCGTTTTGTAGCAAACGGCTCCCAAAAACTCCAAGAGATGAGGAAGTAATCAAATTTTGAAGTTTAGCAAAGAAAATAAAAAGAAAAGAGAATAAACAGAGAAAGGGCAGGAGATAGAGAGAATGAGAGGCCAAGAGATGATGGTCTCTTGGTCAAAAATCCAAAAGATAGTGGTGGTGGGTCCCTCCACACAAAATTTCCCAATTTTGACTTTTCTTTAATTTTTCTCTCCACAATATATATATATATATATATCAAAATAAAAAACATTACAAAATCCATTTTCAACACACTTGTTCTAGATTTCAATACATGTTCTATGTGTTAAGATCTAGAACAAATGTGTTGCAATTGTATTGAAATCTCATTTCAACATCATTATTTCTAGATTCAGCACACTTATATCGCGTTGCAACACATTTGTTTTATGTGTTAAAATTGTGCCGAAATCTAGAACATATGTGTTGAAATTTGATTTAAATGCGTTGAAAAATGCTATAACATAGTATAACAGAGGATCCAGACTCCTTTAATTTTAGGTTCTTTAACCTTCAACCACCGGCTAATCTTGGACCACCCCAAAAAAAAAAAATTTAGTAGTACTAGCCCACTCCAGAATAGATTGGCCCACCCCATTATGCAATTTTGGATCCGCCCTTGCCTTCAACATTGTCCTTTTGACAGAAATATGAAGGTGAGGCTCATAAGATCTGGGCATTTACTGTGACTAATGGACTCTTGCTCTTGGAAGTACTCATGAGAAATAAATGTATATGACTCTACATAACTCCTAATGAGTGTTGGTATTGTATAAGGTTTTATGGCACTTGTTCAAAACTTGACACATGCCTTTTCTCAATTTGTAATGGCCATACCTGTGCTATATTGTGGTACGTACTTATGAGAGTTTTTTCTGGTTTTTCTATGATTTGATCTTGATTCAAGTTCATTCTGTTCTTGCATTTGTGGGTGTCATGCTTATTTTGCTCTTCCACTAGTGCATGCACATAAGTAACAATAAATCATTGCCCCTTTGGGGGCGTAAAACCAAATAAAATTGGAAAACCGACTAGCGAACAAGTACCAAAGAGATGGAAAGCGAAGGGTACTGTTGGTAGGGCTTGGGTGGCCTTTAATTTAGGCCTTGGTTGCGAGACTTGGTAGGGCTTGGTAGGGCAATGCCAGTTTTTAAAAGACAATCGTTAAGAGTGTTACCAAACACCATGTAGGAATGGATACAGTATTGTATTAGCACCACCAAGGCTCTGCAATTAGCATTGGCATTTTACTGATGATGCACTAGTTCCTTTGGGAACGCAAACATGTCCGTTGTAAAATTTTTTCATGGTCACAGTGAACCTTAAAAAGGCTCTTGTCAACTATAGACAGAGCTGGGAATGTTGTACACCTACTGAGTGCTCAGGTATGGCAATGGATACACATTTGCCATCAAGTTTGGTGGACATCATTGTCAAAAGTTCCAAGAAGTCCATTTCAGGTGAAGGGGTTCCCATTGACGACAGTAGAATCTGCTGGTCCTATGAAATCTGTCGCGACGTCTGGATCAGTTCCTCTAATAATTGCCAGTGTTATGATGACCACATTTGGTTTTAAAAGAACTAAGCCATACTGCCACTTGACCACATATGTGGTAGCCTGGTAGGGTTGGGTTTTTGAGCTTTGTTTCTAATTAAAAATGTTTGCAGGTTTGATGCCAGCTAAGGTTGAGTTCACAAAGCTGAATCGAAAGACAAGGGAATACTCCAACTCATCATATTGACCTATAAACAACCTCCAAAAAAAATCAAGGTATATCCATACTAATATACGCGTGTGTTCTTAAATAAGTGACAATGAACACGAAAATCATGTTGAGATTACAGCTCCAATTGACAATAACAAGAGACATAAAACAAGGGCGTTGTAGTTTCCATCTCCCTTGATGTGCCTCTTTAGTCCTGCTCTTTTTTCTTACTACTGAGGCTGTGCTTATAAATTGACTTATTGTTGTTGAAGACTCAAGTAAATAAAAAGTCTTACAAAGGAATTTCCATCAGACTATTCTCTTCTCAGTCATGGCATTCAAGCTTGAATTGTTACTCACCTTAGGACTTGCATTTGCTACTCTCTATATTTCAGTTGCTGGGGATGCAGACATTCTTTCTGATTTCATAGTCCCGCCTAACCTCAACGGCATTGATGGCAACTTTTTCACCTTCACTGGCATGAGAGTTCTTCTTAATGGAGATTTTCCGACGACTTTCAAGGTTTTGAAAGCAAGCATGGCTGAATTCCCAGCTCTCAACGGTCAAAGTGTTTCTTATGCAGTTCTTGAGTACCCTGCTGGCTCTGTCAACCCACCTCACACACATCCTCGCGCAGCAGAGCTCTTGTTTCTCCTCAATGGAAACCTTGAAGTGGGGTTTGTGGACACCACCAACAAGCTCTATACTCAGACGCTCCAACAGGGTGACATGTTTGTGTTTCCTAAGGGACTTATTCACTACCAATACAACAACGATACAAAAAATGGTGCCATAGCAGTATCTGCATTTGGCAGTGCAAATGCTGGAACCGCTTCAATTCCTGGTTCTGTCTTCAACACCAGCATTGATAGTGGGATACTGGCTAAGTCCTTTAAAACTGATGTTGCCACTATTCAGAAAATCAAAGCTGGCTTCGGAGCCAAGGCCTGAGGTAGAAAGGCCGCAGCGGTTAATAATATGTCTGCATCCTGTTCTTTGTTTTTAATGTATTCTTCGTCTCATGAATATATATTTTTTCTTTATAAGAATGAATAATTTCCTTTGTCATTTAAAGAGAATCAATGAATAACCTCTTTTTTCCAGAATTTTATTTGAAGTGCTATTTTTATGAGGAAATTAAATTTGGTACAATGCCAGGAACTGCTCAGATTACTTCTAAATTAACACTGTTCTTGTCTTTTAAGTGCAAGAGATCAAAAATTTGACTCTTATTGTTCCAATTGAAATCCGGAGACATGGGGCAATTCAGAGCCTGTCAGATGATTTATTTATCAGTTTCTTTTTTGTTGTCTATATGATGTGATATTGGAGTTATTTCTTACCGTGAGATGATGTAAACAAGCCATCTGGTTTCTTTAGTTGAGCAGTTTAAAAAATTTCTTCTGCAAAAATGATGCCATGGCATGTTTTTTGGTTCGACTTTGAATCTTGTTCTTTCACAGAAATAATATGCCGAATTTTTTTTGAGGTTGAAAGCATCTGTAAAGTGGTTGGAAATATTTAGGACACACACTTGGATCATATCAAATGTACAGAAAGGTGGTTAATCTAGTAAAATGGCATCAGTGTCGTGGGCAATCTATTTCAATCTTGCCAATCATTTATATCTGAATTGATTTGTGTGTTGATATCATTATCATCAGCGGGGATATTTTTTTTACTGATACCAACAAAATTGGGGATATTTTTTTTTTGCTGATATCAGCAAAATATATTCTCAACCGGCAATTGTTGTTAACCTTGTTTGGTTTTGGGCGCCAGGGGGAATTGGGGGCCTGATTGCCTGATGGTCAGACTATTGAAACATTAGGTCTTCATATAAGATCCTAACTTCTAAGTTTGTAACAGCCTTGGGGTTAGATCTGTGGCACATATTGCTCCTCTCTCTTGTGTTATAAACAGAAAAACTATATCAGCCTTTGCTCAAGCCCGGTGGAACCGAGTTTTTGCACATATGCAGCGTAGGTATATTCTAAATTTGGACATGTTCACGAATAGATGATACCGCACGATTCATGATACTAGCAATAAAAAGAATTATTCAGGAATGGAGAAAGGGAGGAGGGGCTTACTGATTGCTTTAGGATGACAACTAATTGTGTTGATTGGTGGTTACTAAAACATGATTTTGCAACTGAACTGCTGGAGTTTTGAACAGAAATGAAAAGCCTGCTGCTGTAAGGGTCTCTCTGCTACTGAATATGGTGTTGTTGGTAAAGAAGAAAGACATATAACGGCCATTCATTATTTATTAATTTTTATTTTTTTTACCAAGGGAAGAAGGATTACAGGTTAGATTAGTAGGTGCAAAGAGTCAAAACCTGGCACTCTCAACATCCACCGGAGGCACTAACCATTGGACTATCGAGACATCTGCATTATTTATTAATTTCATTGAGCAAGATTTTATTAACAAGCCAACCCAGCAACCAACAAGGTTCATCATGCATATAAGTCAATATTTATGAGTGTGTGTATATATATATATATATCTTTATATATAGAAAGATCGAGATAATGATATTTTTGGATGAAATTAATTTACAAATATAGAATATAAAGATTAATGAAACAATTTAGGAGAACAAAATATGAAACATATATAGAATTCTACAAAGAATGAGAAAATTCAGGAGGCGCGGCACTTTCTATATTTTCATTAAAAAACATATATATTATTATGAAATATAAATAGAATATAAGAGAGGGAGAAAATCCAGGGGGGCCACAAGTCAGGAGGTCCTTAACTTGATCACATATCTTGTAGGGTTGACTTTTTGAGCTTTATTATTTAATTAACAACATTTGCCTGTTTGATGCCGGCTAAGGTTGAGTTCACAAAGCTTCTTTTAGCCAATCTTCTTAATGACTTGCTGATAATCAGCCAAAAGAGCCTTTTAAAAAACATTTAAATATCGAGAAGTAGCCTTTTAAACAACATCCAAATATCCAGTAGTGGCATATACTGGTGTTTTCTTTAGTAAGCGATAATGAACACAAAAACATGTTGAGATTACAGCTCTAATTGACAATAACAAGAAACATCAAATCAAGGGCATCGTAGTTTCCAATTCACTTGATTTGTCTTAGGTTGTGCTTATAAATTGACATCCTTTGGTTGAAGGCTCAAGTTAAAAAGTCTGGCATACAATTTCCACTCAAACTATTATCATCAGTTTATGGTCAACATGGCTTGCAAGCTTGAATTGTTATTCACACTAGCACTTGCGCTTGGTACTCTCTGTATTTCACATGCTGGGGATGCAGACATTCTTTCTGATTTCATTGTCCCAATGAACACCACCATTGATGGCAACTTTTTCACCTTTACTGGCATGAGAGTTCTTCTAGGGGGAGATTTTCCGACAACTTTCAAGGTTTTGAAAGCAAGCATGGCTGAATTCCCGGCTCTTAACGGTCAAAGTGTTTCTTATGCAGTTCTTCAGTACCCTGCTGGCTCTGTCAACCCACCTCACACCCATCCTCGTGCATCTGAGCTCTTGTTTCTCCTCAATGGCAACCTTCAAGTGGGGTTTGTCGACACCACTAACAAGCTCTTTACTCAGACACTCCAGGCTGGTGACATCTTTGTGTTTCCCAAGGGACTTATTCACTACCAATACAACTATGACGAAAAAAACTCCGCCATTGCAGTATCTGCATTTGGCAGTGCAAGTGCTGGAACCGCGTCGATTCCTAGTTCCGTCTTCAATACCAGCATTGATAGTGGGATACTTGCAAAGTCTTTCAAAACTGATGTTGAAACTATTCAGAAAATCAAATCTGGCTTTGTAGCCTAGGCCTGAGCCAGAAGGGCATTACTAGTTCAAAAAATGTCAGCATTTTTTTTTTATATAATAATTTTATGTATTATTTGTTTCACGAATAATTTCGTTTATCAATTGAAGGATATCAATCAATGGTTGTTTTTGCAAGAATTTTCCTCAGGTGTTATTTTTGGGAAAAAATTAAATCTGTTACATGCCAGAAATTATAAACCGCGTGAGGTAGGATTTAGGCAAACCTGTTTCAAACCCACATTGTTGCCATTTCTACATATTTATTTTGGGCTTCATATAAGATCCCAATGTATATGTAACGACCCTAAACTGATACCATTAAAAAAAAAAATTTCGGCATGACCTCTGCTAAAAAGGGGCCTACAACAACTTGCTTAAAAAAATTCAATGGCTTTCTTGGCCTTCCAAGACATATCCAACCTGTCCCAACACACCATAGAAAAAAAATATAATACATTCCCCAATACAACAACATCAACAACCTCCTCGATTAGCCCATCATGTCATCCCATTCAACTTAAGCATTTACATTTTCTCAATTTACATAAAAAATAATCAAGTATCTTAGTTGTGTTACATGGTCATGATTTGCAAAAATGAATACTCTTTTTCATAGTTTGAGACTTCACAGAAGATTAACTAATACACAAAAGGTATCAAAATAGATCTCTAGTCCTCTTCATGCTTGAGAGGAATCGGCATCCACTACACCTTTTCCCTAGCATGAAAAATGTTAAATGATGGGGTGAGCAAAAATCTTAGTAGGTGGTGCCTAAGACGCACCTCTTGTGACCCCGTGAACCCAAATAATGAATAGGACAATAGGGAGAGGGGTCATGCTAAATTGGGGAAAATACAATGTAAATCTGCAAGTTCAAAATAAATGAATGTCGTGCCATGAATGCAATGTCATGCTTGTCACTCCCTATTTTCAGAAAACTTTCATCACTTCACAAACTGTTAATATAACCTGTCCTTTGGTGACTCCGCAGCGACACAAGAGGAGGATTGGCTACTGTCCTTGACCTTTGGTACTTCCGCAATGTCATTTAGGGCCCAGATAGCTCAACCACGCTAGGGCAATCTCCCCAGTTCCCTCTAGGCTATATTAACACACCGGCCCTTTGGTGACTCAGCGGCGACCGGGTTTTTCTCAAAACCATTTCATCAAACTCTCCCTAAAAATTCCCTTTTTCATTCTTATCAAATCATTGTACCCTTTTTCATGCCCATGCTATGAATGCATATCACATGTCTTTTTAATACTATGGAAATGGAGAGAATTATTATCATACAATTAGCATACTTCCACATAAAATTTCCAATAAATTATTAAGCATCATAGGCATAGAAAAATTAACATATTAAGCATACTTAATTCTTAGAAAATTTCCATAAACTTCCATGTACCATTTTTAGAATTTTGTCAACATAATAACATAAAGAAATTACAATAATTCTAAGAAAGTTTTCACAAGCTTCCATGTATCATTTTTAGCAATTTTGTCAACACAATAACATAAAGAAATTCCAATAATGAAGCATGCTTTTTATACAAATCAACAATTACACATATAGTCATGAATTTTACACCTACAAGAAAATCATTCTAGAGGTAATTAATTTCAATTAAGCATGTTGGCATCAAATAACAAGAATTGACTCACAAAGGAACAAGAAAATGCAAAATAGAGACCCCTACCTCAAGATTGTGCAAAACCCCCAAATTTATGCCCTAGATTTCGAATTTCCTATAGTGCACCAACCAAGGAATTGCTCCTATCAACATGTAGACCTTACCATGAGCTTCAATTTGCCGCAAACGGTATTAAAAAATATCAAGTATTGAAGGAGGAATCAAAATGCCAAAATTGTTACCCTTGCATTTCAAAGAGTCCTGGACTCAATGAAATGCTCCAAACAACTCTCGGACACAACTGGCACATTCCGCAGTGCCCGATACACAAAACGGTAAAAGACGAAAATGCCCTTGCAACAACAAAAATTCCGAAAAAATAGAAAATGATGAAAAATGAAAATATTATAGTATAATAGCCTTGGGTCTATATCTTTTTCATCATCTCTCAGTTGTAGACAAAACTATATTAGCCTTTGCTTGAAGCCAGGTGG